CATTCCACGAGAACACATTACTGAAATATTCTTGGGAATGTGCTCCTGAATAACCAGATGTATTGCTCAGGATATTGGCTCACTAATACAAAAATCAGACATCACTACTACATGACAAACATACTCCACCCTCATTACAACACAGTGTGATCATCACCCAAACATTCCTGACTCTTCATCAAAAAACCAGGGCATTATATGAAAGACTACCAAGGAAATAAAGGCAAACTAAGGTACCAGTATACAGTACTAGCCAACTCGTCAACTTGTATGAAAATACAGTTCCGAACAGAAAATGTGAGCTTTTAAATAAATAATTCTTCCTCTCTCTCTCTCTCTCTCTCACACACACACACACACACACACAATCAAAACAGCAAACTCAGCCAAGTATTTAGTTTGCAGACATTCGTACTTGATCTTCTATCTCTCTCTGATGACTGAATCATAGCATTCCAGAGTTCTTAAAGGATACTCCAATTTCTAATGCAATTTTTTTTCACTTGCAATTTTGTTTGCAAAGTGTTTCTATTATATAGTGACAGGGTCAATTAGTCTAGCGACCTATAGGTCATTTTGCCCAACACCTCAACAGACTGTTTGACTGAGCACATTCAAAACCCATGACAAAGTGCAGTTCCCTCTGCAGATAGATATTTCTGGATGTCCAGAAGCTACCATGCTAATGATTCTTATCACAAGCACAAGCAATAAGCCAGCCTCCAAATGTGTCACAAGTTGATTTGAGCTTCCCTTGTAGAACACAAATACAATTCACCAGCAACACCTTGTGTGCACACCTAAAGACAATGCGAGTTGCACCAAATAATTTCTTTGTAGATTATGGTTATTGATTACATCAGGAGCATTGATTTAGCCAGCTGAAACCTATGGACCTTAAAAAAATTCTAATGGCTTAAAAGTGTAAGCACATTCATCCAGATGGTTTTAAGATCACAGTCAAAGATAATCACTAAAGCATACATACAGAACCAATTCAGATGATTGTATCTCAACTTAATAACATGTCATGAACACAGACACTTTGCTCCTCCTAAACTAGGATGCCTCTAATTAACCAGCATGTCCTGGTTCATCTGAACTGGAAAATAAGATACCAACTATAGAACAAGACAAGGTATTCAAATTGGCTAGTCACAGTTACCTAGCTTGGATGAAACAGGAAACTATGGTCATCTAAAAATGAACCAACATATTTTGCTTACACTGCAAAAGATGAATGGAGGGGCTAGATCGCCCATTGGCTTATCCAGATGAGTTATAATAATCCAAGATCCAAGGGATATTACAGTGTACTGCAATACCAAAGCTGGGTTATTTTCTATTGAAATTAAGTATCAAAATAAATAACCATTTTGATTACTGTAACAAACCAAATAATAGACCTGGAATCTCCAAAATGGTGCCAATGGATGCTGAGGTGCTCATAAAGCTATTTCTTTTCCGTATGTAAGTGAATTTCAGAGGAAGGAACGGGCAAAATCACCTCAGAGTATTCCTTGCCTAAGAAAACCCTATGAAACCCTATGGGTTTCTATGGATCGCCATAGGTCAACAGGCAACTTGAAGGTACATTCACACAAGGAAATGGTTCAATTACTCCACTGACTATGTGGTGGTTGGGTGAGGAGGTGACATCCTACAGGAAAATGGATGGAGGAGGAAGGAGGCCTATACCCACAATGTAATCTGTTGCTCCAAGTGTCCTTACTGTATAGAGGGCTTCCTGCCTTTTTTGGCAGAGCAGCTTCTTTTTCGAGCAAATAGAATGATTTTCCATTCACTCAAATATAGGGCTATATCCTGCCCTGAAGAAAAAAACAAATGGAGAAGGAATACCTACCCATTCAGGGAGACTTTGGGCTGACGCAGACGGCCGTTTGGGGTGGCTCTGGACTGGCCCTGGGAGTGGTGGATCAGGGCCACTGTAGCCCTGATCCTCCTTTTTGCCATCCCAAAAAGAGTACCCCGATCCTCCTTTTTGCCATCCTAAAAAGAGTAACAAAATGCCGCTCCATTTTGGGGTGGCAGAAGGCCGCTCTTTGAGCTGCCATTGCGGCTCTTTTGCGCCCCATTGGCGCAGCGTGTGCGCACGTTGTGCCAAAAGGGCACCCTGACGCCATGATCATTTTCTGATCAGGGCAGAACTAAAGGCTATTATCCACCCTCCCGGGGATGGCGGGCCTACTAGAACGGTCCGCCCTTGAAGGCTAATGGAACCAATTGGTTTCCAGAAAGCCTTAGAGGATTTAATGGTTGGTAACGCCGGTGATTCTGTCGAAGCCTTGGTGGACACTTGGAACACCAATCTCACCAAGGCTATCGACACAATCGCTCCCAAGCGTCCTTTCCAGCCCGCTTCGAATCGTAAGCCCTGGTATACTGAGGAGCTTAGGAGGATGAAGCGAGCTGGACAATGACTAGAGTGCGAATGGCGGAAGACTCGTCTCCCATCCGACAGAACTCGCCTGAGGAAACATCTTGATTCTTATAGGGAGGCTTTGCATGCAGCGCGGAAATCTTTCTGTTCTGCACGCATTGCGTCTGCAGAGTCTCGCCCGGCAGAGCTGTTTAGGGTGGTTGGGGAATTGACGAAGGTTCCTCCTGTGCCAAGCCCCCTACTTAACCCAACGACAGCCTGCTGTGAGGCCTTTAA